TATAAGTATTACGAGTATTATTATTGTTAATTGTATAGTATTATATTAATATTATATAAGACTGTGTTACTTTCTCTCAAACCAAAAGACAGTTAATTTTTATTTGTTTGTTTATGAATTGTATAAATTTAAACAATATGTATAAATTTATAACAACAATATGTATAAATTTATTTACTAAACTTTTATTCACATTATTAGAACATGATACTTGTATAAACTAAATATAAAAAATAAAAGTGGTTTATAATATTATTTCATAATTATGAAAAATGTCTTAAAATAAAAGCATTTTTATGCGCAAGTCCTATTCCATCTTGTTGTTCATTTACAATATTCTCAAATATAGGTTCATTAAATTCCTCTTCAATTATTTCGCCTAGATTATGTTTAATGCACACATTATGCAAAACGGCAGTGGCGCAAATAATTGCCACTGATGTGCTTAACTTCGTGCGTAAGCCATAATACAGGCATGGAAATCGACGTTTCCAAGATCCAAATAGCTGTTCAACGATAACTCGCGTTTTCTTATGTGCGATATTGTATCGAACTTCTGACTCTGTTTCAGGTTTTAAAACAGGTGTTAGTAGATAGCTGCGGCACGCATATCCACTATCACCAAGTAGAATTCCGTCCAGGTGCTTCAACTCGAAAAAGACCGCTTCGATCAAATATTACGGCATCGTGAGTTGAACCTGGATGCCTAACAACAATATCAAGAATTTCTCGTTGGGGTCCAGCTACAACCTGTAAAAATAATAAATCATAGAAATTATAAACATTATTATTTCATTCATATAATCATTCAAAATTTAACATATAATATACATATATAGAAAGAATTCTTGAAAAATATACCTGTACATTCAAAGAAAACCATCCTTTTCTATTCCGAAATACTTCTCCATAATTCCGTCCAGGATTTGAAATGCTTATATGCGTGCAATCAATACACCCTATTACGGATGGAAAATTGGCTATCTCATAAAATTTATTTTTATTACTCCGACGTTTTTCTTCGGTGGAAAAATTAACATATTCACTCAAGTATGATGCTAAAATTTTGGAGACTCGTACAATAATTCTAGATATTGTTGCTTGGCTATATCCTCGCAAGTCTCTATTAACAATCTGCAATATAGCATGTGTATATGTATATGTGTATATA